CGCGACGGATCTCGAAACGTCAGGCGAATAAAAGTATTGTCACAGCGATCGAATCGTCTTCTTCTCAAAGACTATGATGACAATTTTCGGTCTTATTAGCCGTCGTCTGCCAGCCATATCAAACGTTAGACTTGCATATTGCGTACATAGTGAATAGGACGTCTGTGCTACCGGGTACGCTGATGGCCCCAGCGCAGGACAATCTAAATAGTCACCGATAATTTCTGCACACTTATGGGACACGTTCTAAACACAGGTGCATCCGTCTAGCGTGAACGTAAAGCCGTTTCTTTCTCCCCAGGGGGTGAGGTTGATTTCTTCCGCGGGCGCCTACATACCTGCCTCCCGTTGCGTGTCTTTGAAACTCGCATTGGCGGCAGCCCTGCTGATACGGCTAGCGTAGCCAGTTGTCGACTTGTGCCAGCTGTGGAGCCATGTTACCACCTCCCCTTTCTCCTCCCCACTCACCCGTCTTCTCGTCTGTTCATCATCAGTGCAATCTGCCAACAGTCAGATGCGTCTGCGCGCAAGCTTCCCCGAGTGTGCATGCGTGTCAGCTTTTGGCAAATTTTAGTCCTTTTCGCCCATCTCTTCCACCTAGCGGATTAGGAATCGACACCTCTGCTTTCTCTTTGTCCAAAAATCATCAACAGCTACGACCATGATGGTGTTTATGCCCACGTGCGATGGGGGAGGGATTTGATGGTGTGTGGCGCGTATCTGGCCTTTTCTCTGAACTACACTTAGACGCACCTGTGCGCAAATCTACAAGCTCGACCGGGCAAGTGTGTACTAGTACCCACACACATGCACCTGTCAGCAGGTTTGAGATAGTAGATTGACAGGCACCCTCGACAGACGTCAAAAACAGCAGCAACATCAGCAGAGAATTGCTCGTCAGCCTACAGACTACCACGGTCTCCTCGAGCGCTAACTAGTAAACTGGCGCTGGAGACACACAGGCACACAGCCGAATGGGATCAGTAGATAGGTGACTACCACCTGCACTATGATATCCCCCTAGCGGGAAGAGAATGCTACCTACTGTACAGATTGCCTTTTAAATGTAGGTCACTGTGGCAGACTCGACAGTTTGTTTAGCAGAGTGTGCGAACGAGAGCCGCGGAAAATGTTGGCCAGAGCCGTACTGATGCTACCCGGTCGCCGAGGAGAGAAACTATCGATTTTAGTCTCCATGACTGACACAAGCAACTCGGTATGCTCGCAACCTCTCATCTGTGCAGCACACGTCAATGAGGCGCGTGATTTGTTATAATTCAACAATGGCGCTCTGCAAGGAGACCCACGCAAACCCCCCTGTCGCAGTTTAAATGACGACGACGAATGGCTCTGACCGTCTATTCTAGGGTGTAGTTAAATTGTCGGAGTACTAGACATGCAAACCATAAAAGCGTAGTCAACGCGCTTTTGTAATAAATAAAAAGTATGCTATTGCAGCAGACGCTAGGAGTCCAGTAAGCTCAACGTAATTTTCTACAGAATTTTTATACATTCGCACAGCATGAACTGCACTCGTTTGCTTCTCCCACGCTTGGGCAGACACAGAGTCAGGAAGACCAATTAGGCGCTGATGACTGACACGGCATGATCCTGCACCTAGGCATTCCACTACAGCCCCATGGTTGACACTTTTTATGGGTTCGCATCACCAAATACGCATGATAGTTAATATCACAAACAGATTTAAGTAAGTTGTTCGAATCGGAATTTCGTTTGACGATTTATGAGCTAGGAAATCTACTGTAGGTAGCGAACCCTTTGTCAAAATAACATGACAGTCTTAATCTAGTCGTCTACTGGAGAAATTTGCGAGTACACAACTTATCAAGGATCATTACCACCACCACTACTACTATTATTATTACTACTACTATTAATAATAATACTAATACTACTACTACTACTACTGCCACCACCGCTACCAACATCTACTGTATTACGTAAAATAAATTGCAGAACTTACGTTTAAACCTGAATTTTTCCGTTTCGAAGTTGCCAGTTTTACTTCACCTCCATAACTCAGTTCATTTTAGTTTGTAAACTCTGTTCTTCTGTCTTAATTTTTACTGTCATTGCTGATATTCATTAGACTACTAACACTACCTTCCTCTTCTGGTAGATGAACTATGCAAGGCGGAAAAGAAGGAGCAGGAAGATAGAGGGACAATGCTTACGCCTCCTCGGTCACAACAGAAACAAGAAGTGAACATTAACGGCTCCCCCAGTTTCGTCCCTCGATTGCCCGATCAACGTGTTGTTGTGAACCAGATCCTCTTCACCTGTATGACTTGGCTCAGCACCAGTCGACCCAACCAAGCCCTTGTTCAGGATACGTTACCGGCGTTGACCGATATGGAACTTGCTCAGCTGATGGCCCAGTCCTGGCCTCAACTATTCCTGACGGGATTAGTGGAACAATTGTATAGCACCACCGTGAAAACCAGTCTGACAGCGACTGAAGAAGAGCTTAGGCAGCATCTACAAGATCTAAGTACGGAAGCCGTGAATTCCTTGAGGAAGACAGCATTACAATGCGTCCTGCCACCTGATGTCCTGGGTAAGAATTAAAAACAAGATTAATGCTATTACTATTGCCACTCTTACTGGTACTTATGCCAGTACTACTAATACTACTACCTCTAATACTACCAATACTATGACTCCTCCGGCCATTACTGCTACTCCTAATGAAGAGCCAGGAAAAGTGCATGAATATTTACCATATGCTACATTTACATACAGCAGATGCATTATCTCATTTGACCTTTGAAATGACTTTCTGATTAGAAAAGACTACCTAGGTGGTGTTGTAATATTAATTACCGCGCAATATAAGATTCAGTCAGGTCAGGATACCGACGCTCTCTGCAAATAATGACTGCTTAAGTAATAAGATCATTTCTCCATTGATTTTGGATGCCCCGAGAAATCCCAATATAATTTATCGAAGGCGTATACAAAATATATTTTCTTGTACTTATTTGGTTGTCAGTTACATATTTTGTGGAATGTCACTCTCAAGGAAAGGGTATATTTTGGCTTTAAAATATTGAATTATGGGGTTATCGCCCGTATGAAATATTCGTTCATAAGGTATCCCATCTATCAGTTCAGCAATGCTGCTTCTAAGGTATAAAACATGTCCCACATCCAACACAAAATTGTATGAGTCCTATACGATTTTCCTTATCCGAAATATATACAGCTTGTAGTTTCGAAATCCTAAATGCAAGTGTAACAACAGTCCAGGTTCCATATTATTAGGAATCAAAGAAGACCTTATTTGTTATCCAATAAGTACAATAAAGAGCCTTTCTTTTATGTTTTGTATAAAATATATTAAAACTTATAAGGGCATCAAAAATGTCGGAAAAACGCACACTGTTTTATTAGTCATCTTTCACAAGGTACGGATTTTGCGGGTGGCTTGAAATATACTAATCCAAAAGCCGGTACCCTGACGTCACTGAAATATATTGGGATAATGTTGCACGATAATTAACATTTCAACATATTTAAGTAATATTTTACAACGAAAAACACATTTCGGAATTTAGATTTACATTTAATGAGATAGCACGACTACTGTCCATTACCCAAGAGTTATTAAAAGCGTACGCCTATTCATAAATGCCCCATTAAATTTCTCGGAATGAAGTCTTCCTGGAAGTAACCTGCATTAATCTCCTTCTACAGAAGAGACGGTTGAACGGATCGAGAGAGTGATCAGGCGACTGTCGGATGTTCTTCCGACTCCAGACGAATTTAAGCTGCTAAAGCAAGCAGCTCTTATCCAACTATATGAAACTGATGACAACACCGCGACTGAGACGGCTAAGTGCACGTTCCCCTTTTTTTTCTTATATGTACATATATTCGCTTAACCATGTTGCCCAAACACGTACCTACCCGAAGTCCGAAGCCATCTTCGTAGACTTTCCACTACTGAATGGCGGCCTTGCGAGACGCTAGACGCCTCACTGAGTCCCCAGGCTAGTCTCGGATCTTGCACCCACTTGTGGTCCTAGCACGAATTCTGATGACGATCTAGTCAGGAAAACTATAATTGCCCCAGTGGAAGTACATTTTGCTGATTGTCCGAAACACGTGAATGCAGGTATCCATTTCATAATTAAATTTGCTAGTTGGTACATAATCGCAGTGCACACTATCCCCATGTAACATACTCATAACGGGATTCGCTGATAGTTTACACTTGGTTTAACTAACCGAAGCAAAGCTGCAAAACTAGGTAAAAGAAAATGTTACTAAAACTGGGGTAACATTATCTTGGTGGATATAATGAACACATAACCTATGCGCCGGTTCAATCGTCAATTCGGATAGTGCCCACTGTGTGCTCCACAGCGTGGTGGTGCAGGGACAGTGACTTACGCCTGGGTTAGATTTGAGTGATGGTAGACTTTTGTTCCATCCACCGCAATCTTTCCTCCCTCACT